AGATGTTTTTTATTTTAAAGAAAATTCAGATTTTACATAGTAAAAAACTGTAAATTATAGTGTCCGTCCAAAAATTATTTTATCTTCCTCAATATCTTCCTCTCTCTATCTTCCTCTTCCTCAATATCTTCCTCTCTCCATCTTCCTCTTCCTCAATATCTTCCTCTCTCCATCTTCCTCTTCCTCAATATCTTCCTCTTCCTGCTCGCCATGAAACACGGTTTTCTCATAACTTCAGTGAAAATGTTCCAAACGGCCCAAAACTTCACAGGTTTGGTAACGATGCAGCCATCAACGCATCTAAGCGTATTATGGGGTGTCATCAAATGCCGTTGCCATGGCGACAGATCATTCACCATCAAGTTAGTTCAAAAGTTTGCAGTTCAAATATTCTGCTGCTTTTCCAAGCCTTTTTACTTTCTTTTCTTCACTCATCACACATTCAAGCCCCCAGTGTTCATGTATCATTTCAATCTAAATTCTTCACTTTCTTCTTACAGATTACATTTCAGCATGGCAGTTTAGCGTCAGCTTTTCAGCATAAAGCATTCCCACTAGCAATTTCTTCAGGAATTGCATTCTCTAGTTTCATATACAATCAAACTGAATATTTGGAAACAAACCAATATACACTATATAGACAAGTATTGGGCCACCTACACATTACACCTACAGGAGCTTTTATGACATCCCATTCCAAATTCTTAAGCATTAATCTGAAGTTGGTCCCTCTTTGCAGCTATAACAGCTTCCACTCTTCTGGGAAGGCTTTCTACAAGATTTTGGAGTGTGTCTGTTGGAATTGTTGCCCATTAATCCAGAAGAGCATTTGTGAGGTCAGACACTGATGTTGGACAAGAGGCATATTATTACTCCACCAAACTTTACAGTCGGCACAATGCAGTCAGGCAGGTAACGTTCTCCTGGCATTCGCCAAACCCAGACTGGTCCATCAGAGCACAGATAGAGAAGCGTGATTGGTCGCTCCACCCAACACGTTTCCACTGCTCCAGAGTCCAGTGGTGGCGTGCTTTACACCACTCCATCCGACGCTTGGCATTGTGTTGGTGATGTAAGGCTTGATGCAGCTGCTCGGCCATGAAAATCCATGAAGCTCCTGGCGCACAGTTTTGGTGCTGATATTAATGCCAGAGCTGGAACTCTGCAGTTATTGAGTCAACAGAGCTGTAGCCACTTTTAGGCACTATGCACCTCAGCATTCGGCAAACCCCCGCTCTGTAACTTTACGTGGTCTGACACTTTGTGGCTGAGTTGCTGAGGTTCCTAAACGTTTCCACTTTGCAATAATACCACTTACAGTTCATCGTGTAATATCTAGGTGAGAGAAATTCCACGAAGTGACTTGTTGCAACTCTGGCGTCCTATTACAGTACCAAGAACGTAGTAACACACTGATGCTGTGTGTGCAGACTAAAGAGTTTGAAGTAAACAACATTTATATAATATATATTTTACAATAAAAAATGATTAGCAATATATATTAAACTCTTCAATTAGCATGCTAATACAACCTACCACTTGCATGGTAACAGCTAGCCATGGTTTGAGTTTATGACTTCTGTGCGAGTGATGGTGTAAAACGTATGTAAATAAGTAGCCCAGGTGCTCCAGGCCGCACCTGTGTTTTTGTCAGCGCTTATCAGCAATGACCCACAGTTCCAGATAAAATACCCTTCAGCAAATGCTATTCATGTTTTTGTGAGTACCTTATCCTTCAACAGGATAAAGGTACAGCAGAAAACGACAACCTCATCTAAAAATCTTCTTTGAACAGCAGAAGGGACCACTCCCCTCCAAAAAGCCAACATTGATACGAAACACACCTCCACATTTAATATTTCGCAGTTATAGAAAGGAAAGGGGGGAGACAGTTAAAGGCAGACGAGCAGAAAATCATTGATTTACTTATGTTATCTGACCATTACATAGTTCGGCCTGTGTGGGGTGATTTAACACTAGAACCTTTGTCTTCAGGTTTGGCGCATTTGACTGTACAAAGACTTTGTTGTATAAATAATCAAATATAGTGTTTTGTTATGAAAAGGCTGCAGCTGAATGGAAATGACGTGTAATAAACAGTGCTTTTGTAAAAAACAGTTACTGATGTGAACAGAACTGGGGTAATCACTACTCAACTTTGACATCAACTCTGTTCTGACTGCATTAGTTAAAATGTGTGTCTGATATGCTGTTCTGGTTTATGACTGCAACGGCTACGTACAAAGTGATCCTCCAATTAGATTGGATTGTAACAGGATGCAGTTACTTCTGTAGAGGAGTATGTTCGTGAATCGTGACGTATCGCCTCTGCTCTTTTTCTTTAAAGGTTTCAATACATTAACAAACTAATACCCCAATACATGTTTTTTTTTTTTACATTTTTGACAATGCACAATCAATTTCAGCCTTTTGAGTTGCTAGGCAGAGTAAGGTGATGTAGCTCGATGGTGTGGACCAGGATCATTTTATGCAGCTAATAATACTGTTTTAAATTACAATATGGCTTGCAAAAGTTTACCTAACAGCCTACTGTCAAAATGACACAATGTTACACAGTATATGAGTGTAAAGATATGTTTACTTTTGATTGTTTTCCTGCACATAACACTACGATACCATAGTTAGTTGAATGTTTAACCTGTACTTCTAAACACAAAGAAGGTGGTGTGTTTAGCTCGTTATTGTCAGACACAACAACAAACATGTTAAACAGTTGTCTGGAAACCAAATTGTTCATTTCAAAAGTATCATCCCGAAGTGTATCCCAAAGGCCTAACTTCAAAAGTATTCATTTGATTTGTGCTTTCCAAGAAAATTCAAACCACCTTCTTAAATCTGGATCAATTTTCTACTTTTAAAAAGAACGTCATGGACATATTTCATTTTATAGTTTTCTTTTTCATTATAGAAATTAAATTCAATATTTGCTACAGATCTATAAAACAAAGTCAGCAGATTACTTTTCTGGTAAACCACATGTGTGTGTGACTCCATATCATTGTATTATTCAATACTTTGGAAGTCATGAATAGCCTGCCTTGTCCCCCCCCCCCCCTCACCCTCCCCACCTCCTCATCGGTGTGTTCCTGAAATCGTTAAAAGGCACATGGGACCTGTGGTCATTTTTTTCCGGATAACATCTACATCTGTGACGGATGTTTACACAAAAGCACTGTGATCATTCCTAATATAATATTATTATTTATGATCAATTCATGAATGTAGCACTCCATTACAGTTTCACTAGATGGAGCTGTTACTCCAGAAAAAAGAAAGGGTAATTATCCGTAGTTAAGGCTGAGGGCTCAAAGACTGTGTCTGATGGATCCTGATTCATCAACCCTTCTAAATCAAAAGCATGTTAACTTAAAGGCCATATATATATATATATATATATATATATATATATATATATATATATATATATATATATATATATATATATATATATATATACATTCATGTTTTTATTCTGTATCCATTTGTTTGGCTCTAGAATGAGTTGTTTTAACATTCTTTGCGCCAAAGTATTTGGTTAGAAGGCTATTTAAACATTTCAGGGCTTTTTTATTATACAACCAAAGCCAACATATATTGTAGTTGATATAATGAAGAAAGTTGTAAGCCATGTTTGTAAGTTTAACACTGGAAAAAGAATTTTAGAGAAGGAACACTTTTTTATTGTCATGAAAGTGAGAGAAAAAAATATGCAATTTCAACTAGTTTAATGTAGATTTACTCGACTTAAAGCTAAGGTATTCTCTCTTTAAGAATTAGTATTTATAAAAGGGTGATTAAAGCTTATTAACATTTTTACGAAATACCATCTTTAAAATAAATGTGAGCCTTCTTGGGGCTACGCCTTCAGTGCTTATTATACATAATAATTAGGGCTGTCAAGTTAACGCGTTAACGCAAAAAAAAAATGAACGCCACTAATTATTTTAACGCGATTAACGCATGTGTATTTTTTGTCCTCGGCCGCCCGTAGTTTCAGAGCGCATCGAGTTTAAAATACCATCTACAAGCTGATGCTGACAGCCCCGCTCCTGCCGCCCGCTTGTGGCAGACCACACTTCCACGCTCACCGGCAGGCCCGGACTGGCCATCGGGAGGACCGGGAGGGTGTGTGTATGTGTGGCGCGAGCGAGGCACACCTTACGTGTTGTTGTTGTTGTTAGCATCTGGTGCTAGCTAGCTGCGCTAACGGATATAAGGAGCTGTTTCAATAAAAACAGAGGAGCGACATTTCGCCGACAACTGCGCCGAACACTTGACTTTATGCAGGTAGCCAGACAGTGGGACATTGTACGAAAAGTCAGCACACTCAGCACGGATAGTGCGCGCAACATGATTGCAGCGTCCAGGCAGCTCCCATTCGAGCATATATGCCTTGAGCTGCACATAGCTCCAACGATCCATCACAGTGTCTCCACATTCTCTCACACACACACACACACACACACACACACACACACACACACACACACACACACACTTTGTATTGTATTATTGTATGAGAGAGGTTCCAGGTTGAATTGAGGCGAATATTTGTAATGTTCAGAGGTTGTTGTGTTTAATATTCATGAGAATATTTGTCATTGTTCAAATGATAATAAACAAACATATAAAGCATATTTGTCCACTCATATGTTGATAAGAGTATTAAAAACTTAAAAAATATCCCTCTAAGGTACATTTAGAACAGATAAAAAATGTGCGATTAATTTGCGATTAAATATTTTAATCGACTGACAGCCCTAATAATAATACAATCTGCCACAATGTAAATACTACATATCCACACACTATAACACACACTGATAAATGCACATGCAAAGATATAGTGTCAGCTGAACAGTTCTGACAGTTTTCTCTTTTTCTCCATCTCTCCCTTCCCACCTTACCCTCCCTTCCCACCTTACCCCCTTCTTCTTCGTTCCCCGCTCTTGTTTCCTCATCTCGTGTGTCTCTCTCAGATCTATTTACGATGACCAGCCCAACGCCCACAAGCGCTTCATGGAAAAGCTGGATGCCAGGATACGGAACCATGACCGTGAGATTGAAAAGATGTGCAATTTCCACCACCAAGGCTTCGTAGACGCCATCACAGAGCTGCTGAAAGTCCGCGCTGACGCTGAGAAGCTGATGGTAAGAGAGCTCACTGTAAAGAGGACTGAGGCCAGGAGCTCATATAGCAGGCCAACATCCACTCACAATTAATAGGCCACATGTACTCGCATGTTCTTACAAACTAGATTGCTAAAGAAACAAATAAAATATGTTTTTCCATTATTAAGTCTGTTTTATGCATTTTAACTTAAATAACTTTAAATAATCCACTACATTTGTACAAGGTTAGTTATTGTGAAAGATGAATTCCAATACCCACAATAAATGTTTCTAATAGTGTTCTGTTCATAGGCTTCAATGTTTCAGACACATTCAGAGGGCTTTATGTTGCAATACAAATTATTGCACTATACACATATTATATTATTTAGTTGGAATGCTGATACAGCATTCCAACTATATGTTATTCTACGGACAACATTTGTATTATTCCGCCGGAATTTTGCACCTCTTCTCCTCCTGCATTCAACATCGCAGAAACTCTGTTCAAACATCAAAACGTTCAGTTCGGTCGGGAATCGATGGCTATCATTTGGATTATTCATAACTTTCATAATTCCAGAGATACATCCCATAATTCATCACATTTTTAACCATTGAAGTCAATGGAGAAAATCTTCAGACTTGAACAATCTTCATGCGACTTCAACTGCTAACTGTTCATTCATACTTTCACTCAGAAACCTCATTCCAACTTTAAAATGTTACACATCTTTCTGACATTATTTGTGTAACGCAACTTTTAAATCTGATTCTTACTTTTAGAGATATTAAACATTGTTCAGACCTTGGTACAGAGGCTTTCTTCAGATTTTAACATTAACTAGAGTGCGTGATGTCACAGCTCGAGGGTAGGAAATCTTGAAATTTGCCTTCATATTTTTTTTTAAACTGCCATAATTCCCAAACCCTACATTCCTGAGACATAATTTTTCATGACAAACGTAGGAAAACATCTCGTAGCTTGAAAAATGACAAATAATTAAGCAAAAAAAAAATAATTAAACAAAATGCCTCTTGAGGGCATGAAGTGACAAAAACTTTCAACATGTCTCCATTAAAACCCATTGTAATTTCAGGCTGATATTTCCTCACAGCAGCAGCCGCACACCTTTAGTTAAACTGCCAAAAAGGCCACATTATTAACCCGAAAGTACACAAAAATTACACTTCAGATACTCAACTTCCTTGACATGCTTCACGTTTTGAAATTTCACAGATATCTGTTATCGTTCTTCCACAAAACGTTCACATGTAAGAGGTTCATCTCTCATTCAGAACAATGCAAACCTTTGATCTCTACAGAGCTCGTTAGCTCAACTATAAACACCTGTGTAATGGAACACGATGATGTCATCACTCCAACTGACAGCAGTCAGTTCTAACTGTTCATTTCATACTCACACACTCTCTCTCTCTCTCTCTCTCTCTCTCTCTCTCACTCACTCACTCACTCACTCACTCACTCACTCACTCACTCACTCACTCACTCACACAAAACACACAGGCCGTTTCTCAATCGCGAGGATGCTGGCTTGGTAGTCGCGTACTTCCAAGTCACTTCCTTCAGAAACGAAGCAAGTATGCTTCCAAGCCACGGCTTCGGAAAACGAAGAAAAATGGAACAGGCTAACAAGTGTGCCACTCTCTCTAACGGTTTCAACATAAACTGTACCGAAAATAAATACCTCACGATGTCTATCTAATTATGAACTTGCTTTACTTTCACGGAACACATTTTTGGTGATAACAATGATTATTATCATTATCAACCATTATAAGTAAATCCAGTTCCCTTTCAGTTAGCACTTCTTTTTTTTGTATAACTTTATTTTTAGAACAACAGAAAATACAAACATATAACATATTAGTCACCATGGGTATTACAAAGTAGCACAACATCTATAATTGGGGTTGGAGTTACTGTCCATCAGAGGGTGAGGGTACCCACGTGTCCATTACAGTCCATATTAAATTGTAAGAAAGAGGATCGAGAATTATTCTCAAGGAGATACACATGTGGAACCAGGGTGGGTGAGACAAGCAATGCAGTTATACAAGGTAAAACGGGGGAAAGTTACATATACAGCAGAATTGTGTCCTATTTACACAAAATCAGAATCAAAATAAACAAAACCAAAAAAAAAAAAAGATTTATTGCATTTGGGGAATATCCTTCATATGTGAAACCCATTTAGCCCAGTATTGGTCACATGTTCCACTACAAAGTCTTAAGGAGAAGGTCATTTTCTCCATATCGAATATGCCCCTTACAATCACTATCCATTCTCCTTTAGTCGGGGGCTCATTCGCAAGCCATTTTTTTGTTATTGCTTTTTTGCTGGCAACAATGAATATTTTAAGGAGGTCCCTCACGTTAAAATCAGGTGGTATATTACCTAAATATATTGTGCCAAAGCTATTATCCATCTCAAAGCCCAATATTGAGTTTATTTCTGTTATGATTTCCAGCCAGAAGGGTTGGATCTTTGGACAACTCCAAAATATGTGGAAGTGATCAGCCATTATATTATCACATTGCCTCCAGCAATGTCCTGATTCTGTTCTGCTATTCTGATGATATATTCTCTTTGGAGCGAGAAAAAAATCGGATTATATTCTTCCATGCAAATTCTCTCCATTGGCTGGAGCTGGAGGTAGAGGATTGTATTCTACAAATGTTTGACCAGTCTTCCCCTGTTAGAGTTATATTTGCCTCAACCTCCCATTTGGCTTTAACATATAAAGTAGAGTGATTCTTGGAAAGTTGTAGACAAGACACCTAGACACCAGTTTGTGCTACCTTTGTATGCACCGATAAAAACGTAAATCAAGTTCAGACCGTTGCTTTCAGTAATCTTAATATTGTTATTAAAGTGATGCCTAAGCTGTAAGTATCTGTAGAAATCCTGTTTATCTAAGACCCCAGTTACACGGAAACGTTTGCGTTTACGCACCGTATGCGTTTTCAAAAAAGTCTTCCGTTCACACGCATTCAGCTCAATTAACGTGTCCGTTCACACGAGACCGCTGGAAACGCTGTAGTACATATGCTAGGCCTGTAAGTGGCGCTGCTGCCGCCACAAAATACACCAAAAGCAGCGAAGAAGACCCCGGAGCATGGTTGCCATGGTTGCCCTTCTGTTTATTCTCCGCGGTGGACGGCGTGTGCTCCTGCTGTAAATCTCCGGTAGTCCACAACCAGATGAAAAACACCCACCTCTCCGCCTCTTCCAAGGGACAAGGGGACCGTGCGGCAGAGTTTCCGTTAACATCATGTCCGTTAAAGTTGAAATCTTCCGGACAAAATTTGAAAAAGTGCCGGTCAAAGGTCTTCTTTGTTATTTATTGAGCTTTAAAACAAATTGATAACGACTCTATATAATAATATAAGAATAATAAACGGAGCCTCTCTTTTCCTCCCCCTCTTCTGACAGCCCAGCAGCTGATCTCTGAGCAGGAGACGTGGGGAGAGGGAGACGTGGGGAGAGGGAGGCGGGGCTATTTCATCATTATCAGAAAATGATCGTATAGAGGCGTACACACGGAGCCGTTTGACCCCCCAGAGCGTTCCGGTTGCAGATCTATCCACCTAGGGACCCGTTATCATTTGCGGGGTCCGTTTCTATCGTTTTGTTACGGCCTCGTGTAAACGAAAGGGCTATACGCAAAAGAAACTATGCGGATACAACCCGTATCGTCCTCGTGTAAACGGGGTTGTGGGTTACAGTCAGACGTTGGAAGCTTTCCAAGCCGGAATGAGTAGCAATTAGGGCATACGTTGTAATGCCTCTCTGGATCCATTTTTTAAATCTCCAATCCAACTGAGCTGGCTTAAAATCGTTGTCAAATGCTACCCATCTTAATAGCCTTGCGCTTCTTTCCAGTTTTAGGTTTTTGCATTCTTTAAACCATACATTTAGAGGAACCAGTGTCCAACAACTTAGTTTCTCTAAGTGTGTGCTCATGGAGGTTTTATCACCCAATATGGACTGAAGGGGTATATCCAATTAGCTAAATTCAAGTTCTTTCCATTTTGCTTCATAATCCTGACTACACCAGCAAACCAAATACCTTAATTGTGCTGCCTTGTAATAGTCTTCCAAGCATGGCAGGGACATCCCCTCCTCTTTTTTTGGTAATTGTAGCGTTTTGAGTCGCACCCTGGGTTTCTGACCCTTCCATATAAATCTCGAAATAATTCGGTTCCAATCATTAAACTGTTTTGTTGGTATTTCTATAGACAGTGATTGAAAAAGGAATAGCAGACGTGGCAAAATGTTCATCGTAATGATCTCAATCCGACTATACAAGTTGAGGGTCAAGGGAATCCATCTTTCTAAATCTGCTTTCACCTCCTTTGTGACATTACCATTATTCATATCATAAATATTGGCCAAATCCTTTGGTATATTTACACCAAGATATTTAATACTGGTCGAGTTCCATTTAAAGCTATTCCGAATTACGTCATGCGGTGTGTAATTAAAAGAAAGGGTCTGGGTTTTACTTATATTCAATTTAGATCCTGAGTAAGACCCAAACTGTTCTAGGCAGGACATAAGTTTGGGAAGGCTTGAATTTGGGTTGGAGAGGGTCAGCAAAATGTCGTCCGCGTACAGACATATTTTATGTTCTTTATCCTTAACAGGGATTCCGGTTATTTCAGTATCTTCTCTAATTGACTGAGCGAGCGGTTCTATAAATAATGCAAACAGGGTGGGGCTCAGAGGGCAACCCTGCCTGCATCCCCTCTCCAGTTCCACCGCCTTTGAGAGACTGCCATTTATTTTAATCCGAGCTGTAGGTAAATGGTATAAGGATTTAAGCAGGGTTCATACACTTTTTCACCAATGATTTTCAATGACTTTTCCATGACTTGGACTCGGACTCGTGAATTTTTCCCCCCAAGATGACTCGGACTCGACTTGTACATTGACGCTCCGACTTGGACTCGGACTCGAGCAAGTTTTCTCTGGAGTCTGATGTCCTCTATCCTGGCGTGTGCACCTGCGAGG